CATACCATACCATATCATACCACAACATGCCATACCATACCATACATGCCATACCATACCATGCCATACCATATCATACCATAACACAACATACCATACCATACCACATCATACCATAACATACCACAACACACCATACCATACCATACCATAACACACCATATCACACCATACCACATCATACCGCAACATACCACAACATACCACAACATACCACAACATACCATACAACATTTTTCAGTCAGGTCATCTGGACAGTTTATTTTTTTGTGCTGAAACGTTTCACTTTCGATCCAGAAGGCTTCATCAGTCAAGGAAACACACAACAAAACTGATTCTTCCCCCAACAGATTACTCCAAAGTGGAACAAACCAGTTTTGCTTGTGATAAGACGGTCTCTTTGGTACGCCCTCTCCTCCATTGCTGGCCCTCTTCCTTGTTGACAGTCGTGTCAAACTGGTTGAAAACAACAAAGTCCATGCTCAATAATCCAGGTATACAACTTTGGAGTAAGCTGTTGGGGGAAGAATCAGTTTTGTTGTGTGTTTCCTTGACTGATGAAACATTCCGGATCGAAAGGGAAACATTTCAGCACAAAAAAAGAAACTGTCCAGATGACCTGACTGAAAAATGTTGGATTGTATACCTGGATTATTGAGCATGGACTTTGTTGATACCATACCATACCACTTTATTTATAAAGCACTTAAAAACAGCAACAAGGCCAACCAAAATGCTGTACAGTACAGCAAAAAAAACAAAAAAAACAACAACAAACAAGCAAAGGACAGCAAAAAATACATAGGTCACAAAGAGATAAATATAAGAGCTAAATGGCTAACCTTGGAGAATACAAATAAGTTGAAATCAACTCACACAGTGTCAAAAGCCAGGGAATAAAAGTGAGTTTTTAAGTGAGACTTAAAAACAGTGAGAGAGCGAGCCTTCCTGACATGCAGTGTAAGTCATTCCACAGTTTTGGACCTGCAACAGAGAAAGCCTCGTCACCTCTGAGCTTAAAACGAGTGCCCGGAACCAATAAAAAACATCTGGTCTGCTGACCTCAGAGAAATATGGCTGCAGCAGATCAGTTAGATAAGAGGGGGCAGAACTGTTCAAAGGTTTAAAAACATACAGAAGGATTTTAAAATTTGTTTAAAATCTTGGTCCCATTTTCTCAACAAGAGTTTTGTTGATCTCATTTGACGTTCGCTGTCACTTTTTCCGCATCAAAATCAAAGATTTCAGCAAAAATGACACTAATCTTTCTTGGCTTCAAGGTTGTCATGAAAAGTCTGGACCAAATAAAGTATGCTCAGTTTTTTAGGTAAAATGAGAAGCGATAAAAAATATTTTACTTTTAAAATGTCATCCTGAGGGCCAGATAAAATATTAAGAAGGGCCATATTTGGCCCTCAGGCCTTCAGTTTGACATATGATTTTGAGCAGTGATTCCCAACCCTGGTCCTTGAGGAACACCTGCATGTTTCACTTGTTTTCCTGCTCCAACACACCTGATTCAGTGATTTAATTACTTCCTCAGGAGCCTGTCAATCACCCATTTATGCAAATCAAGTGTGTCAAAGCAGGGAAACAACTAAAACAAGTAGGATGGTGTTCCTCAAGGACCAGAGTTGGGAACCATTGATTTTAGATTAACCAAATTTAAAATGAATGTTTTTGGTCTGTGGGAGGAAACGGGAGTAGGAAACCCACCTATTGTATGCACAGGAAGAATTTGCAAACACCACACACAAACATTGCAGCCAGGAATCAAACCCGCAACTTTCCTTCTCTGAGGCAACTGTTCCACAGCGCAGCTATTCAATTCACTTGTTTTTACTGCACTTCTGGTTTTCCGAACACTCAGTTTAATCCAGTCTCACCACATTCCTCTGCAAAAGGCTGGAGTTTCCGTATGAAACTTTTTTCTTTTACTGTTCTGAGTCATTTAATTCCAAGAACATTTGTTGAACACCTTCGTTTGTCACCTGGCACTGTTTGTGCATTTAGTTAAACGTTTGACGAGCTGAAACTCTGTGACTGCTGTCCCTTGTTCTATTTTTGACAGATTCCACTCGTACAGAGTGAAGAAACAATCTGAACAAACCTGTCTGCTTGCATCTCAGCGGGGAATGCTGTTTTAGAAACTGGTCTCGCATTGCTGGAAAATGTTCCAACCTGACTGATGAGTTTTTGCTCTTTTAAAGAGAGAGATAGAGAGAAAGATTCCCGCCTACACTCAAGTCTACGTTGGTTTTACATTTAAACTCTGCTTCATCATTGAAAGGCATCAGGGGAATTAGCTGGGACACTTATCATTTTAAAACTGATTTTTTTTTTCTTACTTTTGACAGAAACAATGGAAAAAGGTAAAGGACCTCCTCCTGATGACTTTTCTAACATCCCAGCACCACCGTATCCTGGTCCCCCTTTGGACCAAAGTGTGCCAGTGTACCAGCCTCCACCTGCTGCTGGTGCTGCCCCCCAACCTGTGGCACAGCAATATCCCCAACAACATCCTCAGCAATATCCACAGGCTGGTAAGTGTTAACAATCTTCATTTTGTGTCATTTATTTGATGGTTATGTTGCTTTATTTACTTGAGTTATGAAGGCCACTGTTTAATCAGTTACTGAGTTATTCAAGTTTTTAAGTTAAATGTCTCTTTCTCATGTCTAGTTCAAGTGTCTTACCGATACTCCGCACAGCAGGTTGTGCAGCCAGGTGCGTGTCCTTCTCTTACTGTGCTGAATAATTGTGAAGCATCCATTCTATTGTGATCCATTTTTCTTCATTACGTTTTTCGGCGCAGTTCTCATCCCTCAGTTTTCAAGCTATTTCAACAAATCATAAATCAAAACGTTCAGCTCTTTCAGGACAATCCTGTTGCAACTTTTAGTTTTGTTTTAACTTTAGCTTTTTGAAATATTTAGCCTTTACTGACATTTTTTTTCCTCGTAGAAAATGAATTGAGCTAATTTTACATTCTTCAAATCTTTAGAGCTGTTAACAACCTCTTACTGCTCCTTTCACATTTTGTTCTAGTTCAGCTTCTTTCAGCTTCCTTGTGGAAATTTAAACTTTTTTCAGCTACTTTCAGCTAATTTCAGCTAGCTTTTCAGCTGTTTTGTGCTCCTTTGAGATTCTTTCTGCTAACTACAACATTCTTGTGCTTCTTCCAACTTCTTCCAGTTACTTTCAGCTTGTTATGCTCTTTTCGGCTTATTTATACAAGTTTCAGCTTTTTCTGCTATTTCAGCTACTGTATCGTACAGTATATAGACGCCGTGGCTGTTTTTTTGTTTTGTTGCTGCTAATTTAAACTTTTTCAGCTTATTCCACATTTTTGACACTCATTTAAACTTTTTTCAGCTTCATTCATCAAAAATGTGCTTTCTCCACTTCCTTCTTGTAATTTCAGCTTCTTTCAGCTACCTTTTAGATGTTTTTGTTGTTGTTGCTAATTTCAGTTTTTTTCGATAATGTCCACTTTTTAATGCTAATTTCAGTTTCTTTCAACCTAATTGGGTAAACGTGTTATTTCTGCTTTCTTCTACTAATTTAAGCTTGTTCCGCCTTTTCAGCAACTTTTTTGTTAGCATTTTTAGCTAATTTCAGCTGTTTTCAGATAAATTCAAGTTTTTCATGGTAATTTCTGCTATTTTTAGCCAAATTAACTTCTGTCTGCTAATTTCAGCTTGTTAGGTTCTATTCAGCTTATTTCTGCTAGTTTCAGTTTTTTCTGCTATTTCAGCTACTTTTTAGCTGTTTTGTGCTCATTTTTTTAAGCTCATTTCAGCTCCTTCTCCTTTTGATAGTTTAAGCTTCTTTCTGCTTTTTCAGCTACCTTTGAGCTTTTTCTCTTTCTCTCTAATTTCAGCTTTTTTAGTTAATTTCCTAATTTTTGTGCTTATTTCTGCTTATTGAAACCTAATTCAGCAAATATGTGTTATTCCTTCTTTCTTTTGCTAATTTAGGCTTGTTCTCCTGTTTCAGCAACATTTCAGCATGTTTTTTAGCTAATTTCAGCTGTTTTTTCAGCAAGTTCTTCAGCAATAAACAATCACATTGCATTTTCGCAGGAAATTGAATTTCTCTAGCTGAACATAAAGTCAAAATTGAGAAATGTCCCACAGCTTTAGTTTTTTTCCTCCATGTGTTAGTGAGAAGGTGTGGTTTACAGTTTTGTGTTGTTCTCACAGTAAACCAGGTGGTGGTGGTTCAGCAATTGCCTACAGATGTTCCCGGACAGATGTTATGTCCCCACTGCCAAAACACAGTTGTGACAAAAATTGATTATAAAGTAGGAGCTCTCACCTGGATCATCTGCGCCGTACTGGGAGTTTTTCTGTGAGTATAAACCACAACATGAACAGAAACATAATGTTAGATTATATTTTTAATTGACTGGTTCACATTAGTATTATAAGTTTTTTAGATTTTTCTACCTGGATTATTGAGCATGCATCAGGATGTAGTGTTCATTAATGTTCAGCCCCCTTTACTCTGATACTCCAAACTAAAACTCAGTTCAACCAATTGCTTTCAGGACTAATCTAATTAACAAACAGATGCAATGTGTGTAATTTTATCTGAATTATGTGAATTATGTGGTGTTTTGTGAAGGCCTCAGATGTTTGTTACAGAAAATAGTAAAGTAAAGCAGCATGAAGAAGACCACATTAGCCAGGCCAGGGATAAAATTGTTGAGAAGTTTAAAGGAGGGTTAGGTTGTGAAACAATATTCCAAGTTTTGGACATCTCATGGGGCGCTGATCAGCCCATCATGTGAAAATGGAAAGATACCTGCAAACTTACCGAGACATGACTGTCCACCTAAACTGAGAGAGGAGAGCAATAAGCCGAGAAGCACCTGGTAACTCAGGAGGAGCTGCAGAGATCTGCAGCTCAGATGGGACAATCCATCCACCGGACAACTAATAGTGGTGCACTTCATAAGTCTGGCCTTTATGGAAGAGTAGAAGAAGAAATCTGCAGTTGAAAGAAAGGTAGAAGCCGTCCTGTTTGCAGTAGACGAGACAGCAAAGAAGCTGCTCTGGTCCGATGAGACCAAAACCAAGTTAATTGATCTAAATGCAAATTGCTATGTGTGGCAAAAATCAACTCACTGTGAAACATGGTGGCGGCAGCATCATACTGTGGGGGTGCACTTTTTTTTCAGCAGGAAGTGGAAATCTGATTAGAGTTGGTGGGAAGACGAATGGAGATAAACACAGGGCAATCCTGGAAGATAACCTGTTTGAAGCTGAAACAAAAAACGAGTCTGAAGTGGAGGTTCACCTTTCAGCAGGAAAAAAACAGACAGCCAGCGCTACAATGGAATGGTCCACATCGAAGCATATTCATGCATTAGAAGGGCCCAGTGAAAGTCCAGATATAATCCAACTGAGAATCTGGTGCAAGATTTTATACTTGCCGTTTACTGGTGTTCTTCGTCCAGTCCGACTGAGCATGAGATTTTTTGCAAAAAGAATGAGCAAAGATTTTAATGTCTACACATGCAGAGCCTGTAGAAGCAAACCTCTTGTAAATGAGTCCCCGGCACTCAGTGGGATTAACCTGTACACATAAAGGTTGAATGAAAACCTAAAAGAAACTTGAAGCAAAAGGTGGTTCCACAAAGTTTTGACTCTGAACAGAAATATGCGCCATGCTTTTCAGATTTTTTATTTGCGATGATGTCAGCTTTGATAAAGGAGGTCAACACTGAGGAACTACAAAAGGTGTTGAGTGTATTTTTGTGACGCTCGACACATAAAATGTGTTGGAAGTGCAGACAGGACTCGGGGAACTCGAAGGATAAAACAAATAATACAATTTATTAATTAAACACAAGGCTGACGTGGCAGCAAAAGCTTACATGCATGAGCTAGGAGACAGAGCATGACGCCTTAACAGGACAATCACAGACTGAGGAACAACAAAGAGACGCACAACTTAAAGGGACACTGACGAGGGGACAATCACAAACACCTGGGGGAGGACAACGAGGAACAGGTGACAGAGGCAGGAGCTGAGGACATGGGGAAAGGAAGGCAGGAAGCACAGGTGAACACAAAGAACACTCAGATCCTCTCATGAGCTGCACGCTGACTCACCCTTTGTGTGTCAGTCATTATGACTGTCAGTTCATCACCTGCTGGCTCTGAAGCATAACACCATAGATTTCAATCCACCTTGGGTCTTTCTTGAGTCACACTGAGATGCCACAAAGTCATTTCAGGTCTGGCTTAAAGTGTTTTGTGAAAAGGGCCTAACTGTACAACAGTGGCTGACCCGTCACTCTGAAAATGACTTACCTAGCATAGTTATTTATCTTTTCTTAAGAAGCAACAACAGACGTTTTTAGGAGTTCAGCAGGTTATCCTCTTGTCGCTTTGTTTTTTATTTTGTGCGTTTAGTAATAGCTCTTATAGGCCACCGTCGTTCACACCTTCTAATCTGAGCTACAACTGGGCTTCTTCTTCTTACTCTTGCTCTTCTTGTTCTTGCTCCTTTTTCTTCTTGATCTTGCTCTTTCTCTTGTTCTTGCTATTCTTTTTGCGCTTGCTCTTCTTCTTGCACCATTTCTGATCAGGGAGAACTACAATACAACAAACTCCTCATGTAAATATTTTATTTTAAGCTTGTCCTGATCACC